ATATTAAGTGATAGATTTTATTTACACCAACCCTTCCCTCTGGCTTTATATATAGTAAGATATTTCGGAAGTTATTAAAATCTAATAACTATCTACACTATCTTTGTGATGGTTATGTTGTGTAAATACTTATTTATTAAGTGAGTGTAAAAATAGATAATAGAAAATGATGAAAAGTTTTACACGAAATAAGGCCTCGTGCTTTATATAAACAAAAAGGATTATTCTAACGAGTGCTTGTTAATACACTTAACATTCACTTAACGTATCATGTATATATACACTGACTAATAATTATTACATTCCGTTGCATTTATATACTTTCCCTATTTAATTTCATCTACCTTCCCTTGTATTTATTTACTTTCTCTTATTAATCTCATATTTCTAAAAATATGGCACCTAAAATATATCTTTAGACATCTATTAGATAGACCCATAAAAAAATTAGTTAAAACACTAATTATCCTTAACTTTTTTTTTGTCAAATGGAATGCTTTTAGTACCGCAGATCAAATATTACATTAATTGCTAGATTCTACTTATATTTGATTAATGGTGCTAATTGTAGGAAAATATGCAAAACGTGATTAAAAGGGCAATTTTCCAACAAGTTAAGGATTAATTTCGTCATGGCACACTCGAAACCTGTGTTCAAGTCCAGAAAACTCGGAAATTTACTGCACACAGGGATTTCCTAGTTCGAATCAATTATGGACAGCTTGTGGTTAAAGATTTGAAAGACTTTAATTATCTTTATTAGTAGTAGTATTGGTTCAGAAAACATGAGATATTATCTCTTGTAGTTTCTTTCTTTTATTTAGGAAATATGTTTTATTAGTATTAATAGTAGATGTCAAGTAGGAAACAAAAAAAAAAAAAGGAAGTCGGCATCCCGATTGATTAATACTTCTGAAGCAAGAAATAATTTCGGGGAGAATCGTGACTCTTTGCTTTAAAAAGAGAATGATGGGCCACTTAGTCTTCCTCTTCTTTCTTGGTTACTTTGAGGAAAAACACTTATGCGAATTGTTTCAATGAAGTTGTGCAGCTTTTTCCCAATGATTTGCAACTAGTTTCTCTTTTCTATCCGAGAAATGACAAAGGATTTGATTCATCTACATCTATGAGATCTAATTATTTTTATCTATTTCTTTTATTCTTTGGTATTCATACGTTTTTTGATGTAATTTCTCATGATTGTTTTGTTGTTTAAATATCAAGGAACCCCGATATTTAAATCAACTTGACAAACTAATATCAGTTAGAACAGTTAAATCCGTAATTGTTTAATTATCTTAAATTAGTAGCGACTAGCATGATTGGTTTCATATTAGAGAAACATATGATCTAATTTAAATAAACCCAAATAGTATGTTTATTGATTAGAACAGAGTTTCTTTACTTTCTAATGCAATTAGGAAATTAAATTCTATGGACATACCTAGAATTGTTTCTTGATTAGAGAAGTAGTTAACGGATATACCTTAACTATTGAGACGGTAAGGAAAAATTGGTTGTCATCACGCATTTGGTAACTATAACTTATTTATTAATAAATAGATGAAATAATTCTTGCATTGATAAACATTTGTATGAACCACTTCCAAATTTATATCCTTGGTTAGAGCTTGTTAATTCTTGACTTTAATTTAGTTCACTTTCGGTTAATTACTTTTATTTTCATCAAGTATTTTACTTTAATTTTAATTTTTTCCAAAACCACATTTTAGTTCTTACTTGGAAAGAAATGAATTTTTTTTAGCTCTTGTGGAGATGACCCTACTAATCACTATACGTAAATTTTTATTTTTTTGATAGGTTTTTATTATTGCACAAGTTTGACACTTGTTAATTTTTGGCACTATTGCCAAGAACTGGTGTCTGATTAATTTGTTTCTATTTGAGTTCATCTTATTTTATTTTTATTTTTCTCTTTTTTTACTAGTTTATGACTGGTAACATTTCGTATTTTGATGATACACTGAATTTTATTCCTAGAAGAGGTGATAAGGTTCATATTTTTTCTAATGATCAGCATTTATATACACTAATCTCTCATGCAGAAAAATTAGCTGTTATAACTTGTGAAATTTGTTATGTTTCGGATCATTTAACCAACATGTGTCCCGTATTTCAAAATGACCTGAATATCCCAATTAATACTTTTGGAGATTTTTCACTCTGGTCTCAAGTGTGGTATGACTTTTATTCAAATGGGTATAATCAAGGATGGTGGAATAACTCCAACTTTAATTATGCAACAGGACCAATAGGTTTTCAACATCAATATCAACACCACCAATCATCATCCACGTCAGGTATGCCTTTTGAAAAAATTATTAAATCATTAGCTACCAACATATATCGATTTCAATAGAAGACAAAAAAAGCATTCATAACCTGGTGGATCAAATGTGTCTAATTGCATCTCAAGTGATGCAACTAACTTCTCAAATGTGTGAAAAAATGCCCTCATAGACAATTATCGACTTTAAGAAAGATGAGAGTGTAATTATCCTGATAAGTGACTTAGAACTACGAGTAGGGGTGAGCAATTACGGTAATTACCGATTTACTGATCGAAATCGATTTTAATTTGGTAATTCGAATTCGGTAATTCGGTAATTCGATCGGTAAATCGGGGATATCATATTAGGTAAAATCGAATTAGGGTCGAAAATGGTTTTATAGTTTTTCATTTCGGTAAAACGGTAATAATTTACCATTTTCAATTTCGAAATTCCCGAATTAAGTAACATAGGAAATATTGAAATAATACATTACGTCCGGATATTGGTCCAATTTCAGATTTTCAGACGCGGTGCCCCTAAACTAGCTACTTTTCTCCAGTCCTCTTCGTCCCCTCTTCCTCTCGTTCCTCTGCACTGCCGCGGCGCCATCCCCTCTTCCTCTTCCTCTCGTTTCTCCTCTCCTCATTCTCCTCAGTCCTCTCCTGTCTCCTCAGTCAGTCCTCTCCTCTCCTCAACTACAGAAAGCTCAAAGCTCACCCCTAGACTCTTTCTCCGTTTCCCGTTATGATCGAGGCTTCACCATTGCTGATCGAGCATCCACCATTGCTGACCGAGCATCCACCATCACCAGGACCACGGTTCGCTAGTGCTGATTCCGGTGAAGGTAAGTTAAGTGCTTCACTTTGTAGATTAATAAGTTGCCCTAATTTTGGCTTTTGAGCTGGAAAATTTGGTTAATCATGGTCCTAAAGTATCACGAATGTACTTCACTCTGTTGTTTGGTAATCAACACTTCAGCTTAAAATTGTTTACAATCTTTCACCTGAAGAGTTGCTTAGTATGAGAGGAAACTTATAATCACTATTTCGTGAGAAATGCTACAGGAATCAAACAATGACTAATTGATGACTAAAGCATTCTGATTTACTTTCCATCTTCATTTCAATGACTAATTGATGGAGGTAAGAATCAAACAAAAGGAATAGCAATCAGAATTGCTCTTTTGACATTATGAGTGCCGTTTCTTGAGTTCTTGAAGATTTGCAATTAAGTCTCTTAAATCTGTACTTTCGTCTCCAATTTACATAAACAGGCATGTTGTACTCTTCTCAGGCTGCATGTTAGTCAAGACGTAGAATTCTCCATGGTTTGGTAAACCAAGCATTTGAATGCGAGGGCTTAAATTTGGGATAATTGTGAACAATGAACCTGTATATATAGTTAGGGAAGTGTATTAATAGGTCCAAATTATGTCTTTCCTTCTAGTTTGAAAGCAATTTTGAGAGGAAATGTTGTCCTGAGTTGGTTCTTCAATTTCATCTAGTCTTTTATTTCAATTTTATTGCTAATTGATTGTTGCACTAAATTGTATAATTTATTTGCTCAGATTTTCAAAAAACTTAAGGTATGTCTACTACTGATGATGGTGAGAGTAATCCAAGTCGTAATGAGCTGGAACAAGAAGGATCATCTGGACCTCTTCTTCCTAGTCCTACAACACAAAGTTGTGAAGAATCTAGTCTTGTCAAGAAAAGAGGAGAGTACAAGAAGAGGTCCAAAGCTTGGGATCATTTTCATGTAAAGCATGTGAATGGAGTTCGTCATGCAATTTGCAAATACTATGAGAAGGACATAGCTGCAGATCCCAAAAGTCATGGTACGACTCCCCTTAATACTCATGTAGCTAAATGTCCTCTAAATCCTAAAAATAAGCACACTGGCCAAGCTACTTTGTGTTTGGGTGAAACTGAAACATTAGAGGGAGAGGTTAAAAGGGCACTCATAAGTTGGAAATTTGATACGGAAGCCATTAGAAAAAGCATAGCTTATATGGTAATTGTTGATGAGTTGCCATTTAAACATGTAGAGGGTAGAGGTTTTCAATACATGATGCGGACTGCTTGTCCATCATTTAGAATTCCTTCGAGGTGGACTATTTCTAGAGATTGCTATCAGCTGTATTTAGATGAAAAAATTAAGTTGAAACATCTCTTGAAGAATAACAGTGGCAGAATTTGTCTAACCACAGATTCTTGGACATCCATTCAAAGGATAAACTATATGTGCCTCACTGTCCATTTCATAGATAATGATTGGAAACTGAACAAAAAGATCCTAAATTTCTGTCCTATTGCTAGTCACAAGGGAACTGAAGTTGGTAAGGCCATTGAAAAGTGTCTACTAGAATGGGGAGTTGATGATATCCTAACTGTTACAGTTGACAATGCAAGTTCCAATGATGTAGCTGTCAGCTATTTACGAGGAAAACTTCAAAATTGGGGGAAAGCTGTGTTAGGGGGGAAATGGACTCATGTGAGGTGTGTAGCTCATATAGTGAATCTAATTGTTAATGATGGCATCAAAAAACTTGGGGATTCAGTTGATTGTATCAGGGCAGTAGTTAGATATGTTAGACAGTCACCTTCTAGATTGAAAAGATTCAAGGAGTGTGTTGAAATTGAAAAAATTGAATGTAAAAGATTGCTCTGTTTAGATGTCTCTACTAGGTAGAATTCTACATATCTAATGCTAGACACAGCTCAAAGGTTTGAGCGGGCTTTTGAGAGGTTCGAGGAGCAGGATCCTTACATGCTTCAAGAGTTAGAAAATCTGCCAACAAAATCTGATTGGACAAAAGCTAGATTCTTGGTAATTTTTTTGGAAAACTTTTATCAGCTAACTGTGAAGGTTTCCGGTTCCAAATATGTGACTTCAAATAATTTTTTCACTGATATTAGTCACATTCATGGCATTTTAATTGAAATGACAGCAAGTGATAATGAAGAATTGAGTTCAATGGCAAGATCAATGAAGGAGAAATATGATAAGTATTGGGGAAAGATTGAAAAGATGAATATGCTGATTTTTATTTCCTCCATGCTTGATCCTCGAACTAAACTTGAATACCTTGAATTTGTGGTTTGCCAAATGTATGGTGAGTCCGATGGTACAACAATAGCTGGCCTTGCAAAAGATGCAATGTTTGAGCTGTTTAATGAATACAAGATGCTTAACACACCTGCCTCAAATTCTGTGTCTCATGCTTCTTCACTTTCAAGTGAATCTCAAAGGAGTAAAACTACATTTTATGGACATGGGGATACCTCTAAAACAATCACTGACCGGTACAAGTTGGAGTTTAAGAAGAGAAAAATGGAACTTGGGGATAGGGATGCAAAATCTGAATTAGAGAAATATTTGAATGAGGATTGTGAGGAAGATGATGAGAGATTTGATATCTTGTTATGGTGGAAGGCCAATAGCCTTAGATTCCCAATCCTTTCGAAAGTTGCTCGTGATGTGTTAGCAGTCCCAATTTCTACCGTGGCCTCCGAATCTGCTTTTAGTACCGAAGATCGTGTTCTTGATACATTTAGGAGTTCTTTGACTCCTAGAATTGTGCAAAGTTTAATATGTGCTCAAGATTGGTTTCAGTCCTCCAAAACAGAATTAAATGTAGAAGAAAATCTGGAAGAACTTGAAGCCTTCGAATCTGGTAAGCTATCAAAATTTTTATTGCAGAATTTGAAGTATTTCTTTATTTCTAATAATTGCCTTTATGATACTTCATGAAATTTGTTTGTTCTTGCAGAGTTGCTGAAGACCAGAACTGAATCAACTATAATTGACCTTTGAGAGGTCACAAATGCTGAAGTTTGCATTTTTCAGAGTTGAACCACCTATAATTGTTTGTTCTTGTGGATTGTGGATTGTTTCTAGATAATTGACCTTTATGATTTCTGGATTGATTTCTGTAATTTCTGATTGTGGATTTGTGATTTGTCATTTCTGGATTTGTGGATTTGTCATTTTTGGATGTGTATGAAGTTTGGGATGGTTAGTAATTCTGAAGTTTGGGATGGCCTCTCTTGTAACTTAGCAGATTCTACATTTGTTTTGAACTGGTAGCTACTTGGGAAAGTTTTATATGTTGTGATTTGGTAGTGCAATCATTTGACTGAGTGGCTGTTGTGCCTATGGACGTGATTACTACTTACTTCTATTTTTTTCCATTATTTTGGTGCAGCTTTATGAATGATAATTGTAAACAGCACTTATTTTATTGCTAGAAATGATTTGGCTCGATATCCATTTTTCAAAAAATGAACCTCTGTGCATCATTGGTTTGCTTTTCAGGCTGCACTTTGCCCGACTCCTATACTTCAGAAATTGTTAATTTGTTTTCAGGCCCCTAAGTGAATGTATAGTTATTATACAAAGCAAAACAAAAGGAAAACAGGCTGCTTCAGCTTCACGAATTCGGACAAATTCGGTCAATTTGTGTTTACTGAATTCAATTCGGATTGAATTCGAATTCGATATTTGGTAATTCGAATACGAATTAGGTCGAAATATCCTAGCACCATTTACCGAAAATTACCGATTTCAAGCTACCGAATTACCGATTTCGAATTCGATGCTCACCCCTAACTATGAGAGTTTCAAGAAGAAGAATCTAAAGATGTAGTTGAACAAGAAGTTAAAAAGAAATAAATAATACTCCAACCTCAGATCGTTCTAGTGAATGAATTCAGTGAACCATTTTCAAATGTGGTGACACCCCCTCTATTCTCTAGCAGACATTCTTCTGACTCTTATTCTATAATTTCTATTGGTAAAATCGACTTTGTTATATCAGAAGTTTTTGAGTTTCATGGCAGGAATAAGTTATGAGTTGTTATGGCCAAATATCTTGAACCGGTAAGTGCTCGTGATAGAGGAGTGAATAAAGAATTAAAAATATTGTTTACTTGTTTGGCACCATCTACTAGTCGATAGAAGAAAGTAATTCATGTGCTTAAAGATCACTCTATTTACAAAAGGTTATTAGGATTACATAGAGAATAAAACATTGAAAAGAGTTGCAAGATTTTATCCTCCGTGAACAAACATGACAATGTCTAACCAGAGACATTAAAGAAAAGTGTTTATTAGAAGGTAACCCAATTTATTTTAGTGCATTTTTATTACTTTTGTTTTAGTTTACTTGTATTTGGTGTGTTTGATTTTCGTTTTGATATTCATTGGTCAAAAGGCTTCAACCCAGCAAGGCGTGCCTATGCCTAACTGACTGAAAACCTCATGTTTCAATTTCAGAAATTCTAGAGGATGACTATGCCACAAGACATGCCCATGTCTTGAGGGCATGTTGTAACTCACAAATAACCTAATTTTACCATTAAAAGACTACAGACTAATAAGACGTACCCACGTTTGGAGGGCACACTAAACCTCATGAAAATTTCACTCCACGATCAGAAGACTACAGAGCAATAAGACGTGCATGCGTCTTGTTCCAGCAAGAGGGAGAAAAAAAAATCGAAACCTTAACCATTCTCCTTCTCTTCTGTTCTTTCTTTGTCCTTCATCTCTTTCTTTCTTTTCATTCTTTTTCTCTCCCCCTTGCATTCCAGATGATGAACTCCTTGTTGTCGCTGTTCGAAAATTGTTGCCGAGTTCAGACGTCATCGCCACTGCTCGGCTTTGCCAATTGTGGTTAGTGCTGCAAACATTACATCTATTGTACTCCTTCTTTTGTCCTCACCCATAGCTGTCATGCCCCTCTCATTGATCAGGGAAGTTTTGTTGTCCTTTTTTCCTTTTCTATTGTTTTTTATTTTTTACATTGGGGATAATGTAAAATTTAGATTTTTGGGGGGGGGGAGGGAGATAGTATATTAGGATAGTGCAAATGTAGGTATTTTTGTTGAAATTTTTTATTCGATTTTTTGGAATTTTAGCCAATTTTTGCTACTTCTTGTGCATTTTTGTGATTATTCTTAATAAATAATGGTTAGATGTTTCAAAATTTTCTACCTCTAAGGTTTTATATACTAATGGGTCAAACATGACATGGTAAGGTAAGAGTTTCTCTCTAGTGAATAGTTAAGAAATTGTGATTTTTGCTATTTTTTTAATTAAATTTTTAGGTATTGTAAATATTTGTTTGGCATTTTTTATGTAAACTAGTCCAATTATTAATCTTAGTTATCCATATTTGAGAAATGAAGAAAGCTTACGATCTTTAATTTTTATTTTGATACATATTAGTAAAGAGTATTTGCTTATACTCGGCTAGTAATGTTGTCTAGTAACCCAGAGTTTTCACCAAAAGTATTAACTTTCACATCAAAAAGTAATGATAGCTATGAGTAGGTGGTCCTTTAGTGATGAAAGTTGAGTAACCGGACTCCTTCATTTAGTAGATGTTGGAATTTACGTCAAAAGATTTGAGTGGCTAAAGATTAAGCATTTCCCCTGAAAAGAATTAAGAGGAAAAAAAAAAAAGACTTAAGTATGGGGAACATCTTTAAAAAAAAAACAAAGAGAGTGTATGTGAATATGAGAATATGTTACCGGTTGTATTAGTTTGCTAATCCATGATTTTAATGTCGAGATTTTGCTTAATTAAAGAATGCTAGTTGAATATTTTATATCCTTAAAGTAGTTAGTCAGGAATTGGATGATTCTTTGATTTTAGAAACTAACTGGAGAGATATTTCTTAGAATTTAGCCACTAATACTTGATGTGTGTTTTAATTACATTTTGGCAATAGATGATTTGGACGATAGCTATTATTTGAGTTCAATTGTTTAATTGGTTGTTCTCATACTTGAGAACAAACATGATCTAGGTGTGGGGGGAATTGATAGGGTACAATTTAATTTATGATTATTTTCCCCTTGATTTTAGCCAATATTACATTAATTGATAGATTCTACTTATATTTGATTAATGTTACTAATTGTAGGAAAATATGCAAAACATTATTAAAAGGGCAATTTTCCAGCATGTTAAGGATTAATTTGGTCGTGGCAAGTTCGGAACCTGTGTTCAAGTCTAGAAGACTCGGGAATTTATTGTGCACAATGATTTCCTAGTTCGAGTTAATTATGGAGAACTTGTGGTTGAAAATTTGGAAGACTTTAATTGTCTTTATTATTAGTAATATTGGATTAAGAAACATGAGATATTATCTCTTATAGTTTCTTTCTTTTATTTAGGAAATATGTTTATTAGTATTAGTAGTAGACATCAAGTAGGAAACAAAAAAAAGGAAGGAACCCGGCATCTCGATTGATTAATATTTCCGAAGCAAGAAATAATTTCGGGAAGGGTCATGACTCATTGCTTTAAAAAGAGAACAACGGCCCGCTTGGTCTTTCTTTTCTTTTTGGTTATTTTCAGGGAAAAACACTTATGCGAATTGCTTCAATGAAGTTTGTCTATTTCTTTTATTTATTACTATTCGTATATTTTTTGATTAAATTTTTCATGATTGTTTTGTTGTTTGAATATTAAAGGGTCCCAATATTTAAATCAACTTGACAAACTAATGCTAGTTAGGACAATTAAATTCATAATTGTTTAATTATTTTAAATTAGTGGCCACTAATGTGATTGGTTTCATGTTAGAGAAACATATGATCTAATTTAAATAAACCTTAGTAGTGTATTTATTGATTAAAATCGGGATTCTCTAATTTATAATACAATCAGGAAACTAGATTTTATGGACGTACTTAGGATTGTTTCCTGATTAGAAAAGTAGTTAACTGCATACCTTAACTATCAAGACGGTAAGTCATTGTATCTTTGGCAACTATAACCTTATTAATGAATAGATGAAATAATTCTTGCATCGATGAACAATTGTATAAACCACTTTCGGAGTTATTTCCTTGGCTAGAACTTGTCAGTTCTTGATTTTAATTTACTTAACTTTCGGTTAATTACTTTTATTTTCGTCAAATATTTTATTTTAATTTTAATTTTTTCCAAAACCCTTTTTTAGTTCTTCTTTGAAAAGAAACGAATTTTTTCTAATCCCTGTAGAGACGACTCTACTCACCACTTTCCCCAAATTTTCATTTTTCCTGAGTAGATTTTTATTATTGCATAGGTTTGATACCTATCAATTTTTGGATAAAGGTTTCCAAAAAAAAGGAATTGTTAATATTGGGCTGCTAAAGTCTTTTAATTTCTAAAAGGGCAAAAAACCTGGGCGGCCATTAAACTTTTCCCAAGATCATGTTTTGGCCATCGAACTATTTTTTGTCAATAATTGGCCACTAAACAACTTAATCAGGCCACCCGTGACCATTTCGTCGGTAATAGCTCTTAATTTCTGAAATTAGCATTACACGTGGCAAACCACAGGGGCAATTTTGTCCGTCAATCCACTGACCGTTCACTTACATTAATACATCAACTGAAAAGAAAAAAAAGAGCGGTAGAAACAAGCCAACTAAACAAACTGAAGTGTCTGGTCTTGTGGAGGAAAAAATAGGGACTCAATTTCCAGCCCTAAATTCTGTGTCAGAAATCGAAGAAGCCAAGAATGTTGAGACGCTCTCCTAAACCCATACCTAGATGCTCCTGCGGATTAACAGCAATGGTGAAGACCTCATGGACAAATTGGAACCCAGCAAGAAGATTTGTGGTCTGCACTTTAGGAGAGGTAAGATCTTAGAGAGGTAAGATCTTAGATTTGTAATGGAAATATTATAACAAGAGGATTTAGTCTTGGAAAATGTAAATTGCAGGATGAGGGATGTGGTTTTTGGGAATGGTATGATCCAACAATGTGCGAAAGATCAACTCAAGTGATTCCTGGTTTGCTGCGAAGAATGAA